CTATAAGGTCCACAGCCAACACTTCCCACGGTCTCTCATTCTAACTAAGGATCTGCCCAACCGATGGCTCAGAGTGCGGTAGCTCTTTGCACACGACAGACCTCACAATCTCGTTGATGACGGACAAAATTCTTGAGAGAACCGCAATCGAAATCACTACATGTAGACTTGAACAATTTATGGCTTCCGAGATGACCGTAAAAAAGATGTAAAGCCTTAACGACATCTAACTGCCGACAATATGGAACAACCAAACCGTCAGTCACAGCATTAATAACATATTTCGGAGAGCCATCTTTCGGAATAACAACAGCATATTTACGAAGTAATCTCGGCTCTGGATGGCCGTACTTATCAGAATCTAATAGTTTACCGAGAGAAGAATCCTCATATTGCATAGAAATAATAGCCTCTCGTAAACTGATAGGGGTCTCATTATCGGAGAGCTCAATCGTACAGAAATCTACCACTTCCCTTGATCACTTCCAATAGTGTCCACATGCTCTGTGTCCACGTCATACGGTAAGCCTTCCCGGCGGCGAGAAACTTCTACCGCAAGTTTCAGGCCAGCATCTTCGTGAGGGAGGGTAGTCAAAGGTGTACCACGAGAGAAGGCGTCGGCTGGATTATGACGTCCACTCAAATGGTATATAGTGCCATTTAACAAAGCCAAGTTCTTAGCAATACCAAGGAGAACCTTCGATTCCCACTGTGGTATATCAAGTGATTTTGGTGGCCATATGATATCCTTGGAGTCCTCGTTCTCATCACGAACATATTGTTGGGCTTTACGGAGTCGGAAAAAGTTGGCGGAGTTGTCCGTGAAGAACTGAACCTCCAACTTCATAGTTCCATCCACCGCTAGAAGAGCTCGTCGAGTTTCTATGTAGAAGGCAACTGCTTCTTGTACAGCCAACAACTCCTTTCTCACTATTGTCCATGACCTTCGCTGACCACCAATAAGCTTAGTATAACAACGGATGATGTTCAGGTTAGCATCGGCAATAACCACTCCTATTCCATATGCTGACGAATCCAAGAACACACAGATCACGGGATCCTGACGGATACATAAAGCTCTTGGAATACCAGAAAATCGTCTCAACTCATCCGTGCTTCTCATAATAGATTCATATGAAGACCTTTTTACAAAGGCATCCAAGTCACCGTCGGTGGTCCGTTCGGATTCATCACGAATGATAAGTCTCATAGCCAAGAGAAGATGACCCACGAACCCCATTGGGTTATATATACGGGCAACATAGCCCATCAAATCACGGATAGTCACGACACACAAAGAGTCATCAGAGGGAGTGGACAATGGTGGTGGTAGTGACGAGACATCGGGTGGTACAATGAATATCTCGTCATTCTTATTCCATAGAAGGCCCAGTACTTGAGCAGAATCTTCACCACAAGGAGGTCCTATCTGCCTCTTCTTCTCACTACAGTTGAAGCCGTGCCGATCACAGACACGAAGTAGACACCTGACAGCCAAATTAAGGAGCTTTTCAGAATCTGCTCCCACGACTAAATCGTCCATATAGAAGCAGAAACACACTGGAACATTGCCGTTCTTTATCAGATGCGGATAGAGACCCAAAAAGTCACTGCGAGCCTCATCACAAAGTCGTTGCATAGCATCCAACAAACAACCAGGCGAATGTGGTGCACCCATGGGTGGAGAACGAAGCCGATAGAGATTTCCACGAAATGGGATGCAGAACGTATACGATTCACTGTCCGAATGTAAAAGCATATAAAATGCCATAGAGATATCCAAC